AGGAAAATATGCCAGAGAAGTAATGGTCAGGGAGGTAATGAGCTACAGCATTTTCATTTGACCTGCCCGTGTGGGATAGTATTAAAGGGACTTAAGTCTCCAGGGATATGGCAAGTTGAAAAGTACATGTCTTACTAAATGTATATAGTTGTCCCTCTCAATTTCACATGAGGATATGTGGAAAAGACCCACTGGGATATCTAAACAGAGGATTTACCAGTTTGAAAATAGGTTTCTTGAAAAGAGAAAAAGAAAAAAGAAAAAGGACTATAGTCACACATTGAGAGTGAATATCGCAGAGATCACAAGATCCTGTGGAACAGAAGACTTTGCAACCAAAAAGGGGAATAGGAGAGGGAGCATATTATGTACAAGGAATTTACCTTGGCTAGGAGGAATAAAATCTAGGGAAGAGCAGTAAAGAATTCATACAGACACAGAGAGCTTCACACCAGCCCAGACTCTTATCAGGAACTCTCAACTGGAGGACAACCCAAGAGGATCAAGAAGAGAAACCAGATTCAACTCTAGAGGGTCATAAATTGGAGATACCCGCAGTTAACAATAATATTGCAAATGTAGTTGTTGCTTTAGAATGATCAGGACTCCCATTGTGCTATTAACGAGCCCTGAAGAGACAGAGTGAATAAAATATATAAAAGAGGGTTTTGGAATGAAAGGTCCAGGAAGTGTAAACATCTTGTAAAAGTGGCAGTTAAAATTGGGTGAGGTCCAAACACTTATGTCATTCACTCAGTGTGTATCGGTGTAAGGGGAAAATGTGTCAAAACCCATTCAATATAGAAGCAAAAAATCCAATAGACAAGGACAGTAAAATCAACAGCCCGCAATATATACCATGCCCATGCTAGCAGTGCAAGTAATGAAAGGAGAGACATGCTTCAAAGAGTTTATCCATAGCCATGCCTTCACCCAAACTTAGATCCATCAAAACTTACCTCATACAAACAGTTGTAAGTTACCCATGTAACAATGTGCAGCGCTCCAAACAAGGAATGGACCAAGAAAAAAATACTTTTAATATTATATACTGAAGCCAAATTTAGGGAATGGATATGTCAATATTATAAGTCTCAAGTGACAAATATTCTCCAAGCAAAGAGTGCAGTGAAAACAGGACGGAAAATGAATGAAAAAGAAACCGCTCTTAAGCCAACATGAGTTGTGGAGCGGCCATAGCACTTTGGAAATGGCATTGTTCCTAAAACCTGTTAGTTGCACCAGGGAGGAAAATAATTAACAATAAAAAGAAGGCCAGGCCCCACTGAATCACACTTTCATCATGTCAGTTTCCACTTCCTTTTAGTTTTCATTGCTCAATCACGTACATTCTGCACTCTTCATTTGAATTTCGAACCATGTTCCTGTCCTGAATCTCAGGTCCTCTCTTACAAATTTGCTGCTTTTTCTTCTCCATATAGAAGGGTATTTTTTTTTTTAACTCTATATATCATACCTTCTCTGATGATGATGTAAATATTTGTTAAGGTATTTGAAACACAATGACATGTCCTTCCGGCTGATGGATACCCTGGAAGTAGACATGGAGTGTAACGGCTAAGTGGTAGGTATGTTGGCAACAGATGATGCCAGATGGTGGTGTAAAACATATACGCATTCTAACTATGTGGAAGAACCGAAACCAGAAATGGGATAGTGTAATTGTATCATACCGCATACTCATTAATCAACTTTTTTAAAGCTAAAATTAGAGTAAATCACCACTCACGATATGTGACAAGAGTATATATAAATAAATAAATCCAGGACTAATTGATTAGTTCGAACATGGATTAAAAGTAATTTGATTCGGTCAAACTGGCTGAAATTAATTTTTTGCACATTTCTAATTTATATAAATTTAGGGTTAGGATTACGGTCTGAATTCAAACACCAAGATTCATGAGCGTTTGGGTCAGAATTAAATCTTAGAATAGGACCAACAGCATTAAAGGGAAACTCCAGTGCCAGGAAAACAATCTGTTTTCCTGGCACTGCAGGTTCCCTCTCCCTCCCACCTCCCAATCCCCGGTTGCTGAAGGGGTGAAAACCCCTTTAGTGACTTACCAGAGGCAGCGACATGTCCCACGTCGCTGTTTCTTCCTCCGCCGCTCCTCCTCTGCATTACTTCAGCCGGTGGGCGAGACTGATCCCGCCCGCCGGCCGGCGAGATCTAATGCGCATGAGGTGGAGTTAACCCTGCAAGGTAATTATTGCAGTTTATAAAAAAAACTGCAATAATTACACTTGCAGGGTTAAGGGTAGTGGGAGTTGGCACCCAGACCACTCCAATGGGCAGAAGTGGTCTGGGTGCCTGGAGTGTCCCTTTAACTCCAAGGGTTAGAAAAAGTTCTGGAGTTTGACTTAGTGTATTCCCCAACTTTAAATCGAGCTCCACCCTAAATGTCCTTTATTTCTTTGTAATTATTCTCCATAACCCTATCACTAATATTCCATCTAAACCTAAACAGGTCTAGGATGGTGGGACAGACAAGACACAAAGATGTTCAGCTTGCACAACAGCGCAAAACAGATGGTCAAACATGTTTAAAATGGGGATAGACTTCAGCTGTGCCACTTTTCTTTTTCTAGAAGTCTTGTAAATTGAAAGAAAGCAGTTAGAGGCCACGATGAAGTCACAGATCCTATTTAAAATGCAACTTTCATTATGTTTTACTATTTCCTTCTAGGCAATCAAAACAAAGGCAGGAGGTTTAATCAGGAATAGAAATCAGAAAATACACAGATGGCATTGGATGAATGACACTCCCTTAACTGCTGTAAAATGTCCACTTCCCAGAGAAACAGTGGTAGAACAGGTACAACTGTAAAGTTTGCACATGGATAGAAAACTTGACTGGAAAAAATGTCATTGACCAAGATTCTGAGAAACTGTAGGTACATTTTCCATTTGCTTCTTTATAGTAAGAGGACACTTTGCTCTGTAAACAAAACACCTTAATTTTCATCAGCTGTTCAAAAGTAAAGAGAGAGACATGCTGTGTTACTTATTGCTGGTCTATTCTATTGAAAATAAATATATGGGGTGTGGGGGCAGGGGGAGGAAGCTTTCTTTACTTCTGCTAGTTGTGGGGTGGACAGCAGACTGATGATTTTTTTTATTGAACGCAACATTCACTACTTACTGGATTATTACCTAGAGTGAGAATAGACAGGAATTTAAAAGTGAATTTCAAATTTAAAGGGACAGTATAGTCATCTGAACAACTTTAGCTTAATGAAGCAGTTTTGGTGCATAGAACATGCCCCTGCTCAATCCTCTGCCATTTAGGAGTTAAATCCCTTTGTTTATGAACCCTAGTCACACCTCCCTGCATGTGACTTGCACAGCCTTCCATAAACACTTCCTGTAAAGAGAGCCCTATTTAGGCTTTCTTTATTGCAAGTTCTGTTTAATTAAGATTTTCTTATCCCCTGCTATGTTAATAGCTTGCTAGACCCTGCAAGAGCCTCCTGTAAATTCAATTTAGAGATTGAGATAGAATTATTTAAGGTAAATTACATCTGTTTGAAAGTGAAACCAGTTTTTTTTTTTTTCATGCAGGCTCTGTCAATCATAGCCAGGGAAGGTGTGGCTAGGGCTGCATAAACAGAAACAACGTGATTTATCTCCTAAATGGCAGTGAATTGAGCAGTGAAATTACAGGGGAATTATCTATACACTAAAACTGCTTTATTTAGCTAAAGTAATTTAGGTGACTATAGTGTTCCTTTAAGACCAAAGTGTTCTAATGTAAAACAGAAATTAGTGAGAATTTTCCCTAATTTTATTATTTTGGCCTAAATTTTGAAATTGACTTTGAATTCCTGGCAATTCTCACTCTACTTAATAACCCTGCAAGTAGTGAATGTCAGTTCAACATAAAAATGCAGTAATGTAGCTGCCTTAAGTGCACATCAGCATTACAGCATGGGTTATAAGAATGCTGCCAACAGCAACCTGTGAGAGAAATGGATCCTGCATTCAAGGTGCCGTACCCTGCAATTTCCATGACAATTGCAGGAATACTATAGCGTTAGGAATACAAATGTATATTCCCAATACTAGTGTCCTAGAGAAAATGCAGTGTTTACATTACAGCCTAGGGATACCTAGATGGTTACTAGAGGTGCCTCCTGGGGCATTGCTGCACAGTGAGCAGCACTGCCATTCAGTGTCTCCACCCTATGCATGGAGATACTGAACTTTCCTCATATAGGTAAATGGAGTCAATTCATCTCTATGAGGAGATGCTGATTGGCCAGGGCTGTGTTTGGCTTGTGCTGATTCTGCCACTGACCTGCCTACTTGACAGTCTCAGCCAATCCTATAGGAAAGCATTGTGATTGGCTTTGATTATCACTTCTGATTATGTCAGCCAAGAAGGTAAATCAAGGGAAGAGCTATCAGCAGCAGCCGACTGGAATAAATGTAAAAGATTTTACTATATTTGGGGTGGGCAAGTAGAGATTGTGATTTTAGTACTATAGGATCAAGAATGCAGGTTTGTGTTCCTTTAATATATGTAGCAAAAAAGGGGATGATCTGCTAAATGAATAACAAGAACAATGCATAGCGCATAACTGTGTGTATGAATAAACCAAATGTATAAATGACAAGTGGCCACTTACACTTTCGTTGAAATAAGAATGCCTTGAGAATAAATTTCTTTTTTCAGTATAAATGCTTTTCCAGGAAAAGTTCTTCCACCACTTTTAAACTCTCATGGAACAATTAAAAGGTGTGTGCTCAAAAAGAAAAAAATATAGAACTGTAGTACACATTTAAAAATGTAGAAAAAATAATTTAATCACTTACATCTAAATATAAAACAATGGATGTATTCTCACTGTCACCACCAGGGGTCCTACGTGTTTCTTCCTTATGTAGGACTTCCTCTTGTCTTCAATAGAATATATGTAGCAAAAAAGGGGATGATCTGCTAAATGAATAACAAGAACAATGCATAGCGCACAAATTCAGTGTATATGGACCGGAGGCAGAAAAAAGAGAGTGGGGGAAGGTTACACACTCTTCCCCCACTCTCTTTTTTCTGCCTCCGGTCCATATACACTGAATTTGTGCCTTTTGAAAGGGACTTTGAAAAAGAAAAAAAGATGTGTGGCTTGTGAATTGAAAATTTGGAGTACTTCCGGTTTTCGGCGGTGGAACACATGGTGGAACGCATGTGAGATGGACGGGCGCATAGGATAACGTCATAAAAACCGGCCGCTGGACCGAAAACACCTGGATCAAATGAAGAGTTTTGTGGACATTGGGAGGGGTATAAAGGGTGGAGGAGGGAAGGGTTTTTTATATTGTTCATTTGTATGCTGTCATTTCTGGTCACTGAAGTCCCTGAGGAAGTCCTACATACGGACGAAACGCGTAGGACCCCTGGTGGTGACAGTGAGAATACGTCCATTGTTTTATATTTAGATGTGATTAAATAATTTTTTCTACATTTTTAAATGTGTACTACAGTTCTATATTTTTTTCTTTTTGTGCACACCTTTTAATTGTTCCATGAGAGTTTAAAAGTGGTGGAAGAACTTTTCCTGGAAAAGCATTTATGCCGAAAAAATAAATTTATTCTCAAGGCATTCTTATTTCAAAGAAAGTGTGAGTGGCCACTTGTCGTTTATACAATTAGTTTATTCATACACACAGTTATGCGCTATGCATTGTTCTTGTTATTCATTTAGCAGATCATCCCCTTTTCTGCTACATATATTCTATTGAAGACAAGAGGAAGTCTTTGGGGAAAATCCTACCTGGTTCAGGGAGGTTTTTTTCCTGCTATTTATCTATTGAGCACTTATTGCACTGTGGTTTTTGTACACACATTGCTTTTTGTATTTGTGTTCCTTTAAGTTAGAATTGGATTCAATTATTATTTCAGAGGGAAGTCCCCATAATGGCTAACAGGGGGCAAGATACATATAAAAAAAAATCACTTCCATAGGGCATTAGTTGCTTTTGGAATATAAATGGAGGATAAATGGAGCAACTCGATACTTTAAGTTTGAAAATAAGTGCAACATACAGTTTGTATTTTCAGAAGAAATGCTACTGCTGGCTGGCAGCAATATGCTGTGCGTGCTGCTCAGAATTTGCACTTGAGTCACATTAGCCGCCAGTAACTCTTGTTCTAATGGAGGACATCAATGAAGCGGCAAGAGGTGGAGTTACGCCTTCAGCTGCAGAGGGGTTATATCCTTTATTTGAAGAATTATATTGTGAAATGCGGCACACACTGCAGACCATGGCCACTTCAAATTACTCATGGTCATGGTACGTTGAGTAACCCTTTAATTACTTCTACAATTTATTTCAAATATATTTTAAACTGGGTACTTTAACAAAGGTCAATGTAAATAAAGAAAAATATGCCACAGGCATTAAGCACTGTGGCATATATCTATGGTGGCAACAAAGGGTTTAGCGGTCCTGGTTATACAGTTAGGGAAAGTCAAGTAGAGCTCATGACCCCTGGTTAAATTGTTGTAGTGAGACAAGTAGCTGGGCAGATTTGGTGACACAGCTGTTGCTGGGGACAAGAGCTGGCTGAAGCTTGGTTGGAGGCCATGAGCGAGCATAGTGCTGGAGACCAGGTAAGCATAAAAATTTACAAAGCAAGTGCTATCCCTGTCAGCCATTTCAAATAGTCAGGAGAAGCGCTGACAGACTTCCGCCCTCCCTCCTTCACCTATTTGCCAGCTTTCTTTACAATTAATGTCGAGGTGTTAGAAAGCATTGGGGCAAAAGTTCTCGGGTTCAAGTTCTGAGGAAGGACATGGTGTTAAATGCGTGTAACTAAAAAGATGATCAAATCAGCTATGACTGCCTGGCAATTAAGTAAATAGGTTACCATTATCAAGTTACGGTGGTATGCCCCTTTGAAGCTTTAAATAAACACCACGGCCTACCCCATTGAAATATAAATAAACTGTGCCTGTGTGGTCTAAGTTATTTATGCGAAATATTGCCTACCTTACATATAGATTGTATCATAATAGGTTTTCCAATAGAGATTAGACTTCTGTGTAATGGTTCTAATCTGAACATTAAAGACAAATGAACAGCGTCAAGCTACCACACTTTGCGCAAGGTAATAACCAATAGGATTGAATGTTTTTAGTGTGTAACCAGACAGTAAATTATTCATTCATCAAGCAAGTTCATAACAGAGTAAAAAGTCAAGATAATGCACTTCAATTCAACATGGCTTCAGTACACTGCCATTAAAATAAATGTAACAACCCTTTTTAAACTTTTTTAAGTTTCAACAGGGCTGAATGAAACCAATTCCTTTTACTCTACGACGAACAAATGGATCAGTCGGAGATATACCTGTGGAGTATCCTCATTCAGGAGTATGTTAAAATGAGTTTTAATTGTTCGATCTAGCTGAAATGCACACAGGACTGATGTATGACAATTCACCATGACGTCACAACAATACTAGACGTTCTTCCGGGTGGCAAAAGCCAAAGCGTGCTACGATGAAAGCTGTACTCTGCTTATAGGATTGCCAGGCAATAACTGTAAATCTAGCACATATAACTGAACCATCACCTCAATCTCTCAACATTACTTCCATACTTAACTTTACTCGGCTCTACCCACCCACCCCGGTTCCTTCTAACTACATAGCATGCACCTCCAGCTGTTTAAAACCACACCAAACACCTCCCTATTACCTTCACATATTATCAGCAGTTATACCATTAACTTTCTCTGCCATCACATACAAATTCCTCTGTTACCTCTTGTCTCATACCCCCATATCAACCTTTAGATTGTAAGCTCATGGGCAGGGCCCTCTACCTGTTGTAGAGGGGGTATGGCTGCTTTAAGATTGCCTTTGCTAAGCCCATTAAAGTGTCTCACCACTTTGGGAAGATTTATCTAAAACTGCTGTTGCAGCTGCTCATGTTGTCCTTCTGCCATGGTGCTCCAGTCCCCACTACTGAGCAACTACACATACTAGACGTTCCTCCGGGTGGCAATACTTTGTTGATGAAGAAAGCAATCAAGAAGAGATACACCTTGCTTCCATACTTGTACTTTCACCATGCACACGTGTCTGCCGAGCTGGTGAGCTTCCATATTAATATCTTTAGTTAAAGCCTTGCCTTCTACTACTGCCTCCCAGTAAAATAACTGGTTTCTTTGCCTTATTCACAGGCCCTTCTGGGTAGAATTTCCCCAAGAATTATTTGGAGTGTAAAGCCAATAGAGTGGAAGCCGCTCGCATTCTGCCACCCGGAAGTATCTTGGTGCCCATTGTTTACAAACATTCTGAAATGCCCCCCCAAACTTGGTCATGAGTATTACCTGGTGAGGTGTAGTATGGTATAGTTTAATACCATTGCAAAACTGTACTTATTTGTAGGCCTGGATAACTACTAAGAAGACACTATAGTCACCAAAACAACTTTAGCTTAATCAAGCAATTTTGGTGTATAGATCATGCCTCTGTGTGTCACAGCTCAATTCACCGCCATCAAGTAGGTAAATCATTTTTGCTTATGTTAATGCAGTCCTAGCCACACTTCTACTGACTGTGACGAACACAGCCTGCAGAAGACCAAAATGGTTTCACTTTCAGTCAGATGTAACTTTCATTAAAAGTTTTTATTTCCTGCTCTGTAAATTAAACTTTAATTACATACATTAGGCTCCTGCAAGGTCTATCAAGCTATTAACAGAGCAGGATATAAGAATTTCTAAATTAAACAATAAAAAGGAAGTGTAAACATTAGATGACTCTTTACAGGAAGTGTTTAGGAAGGCTGTGTAAGTCACATCCAGGGAAGTGTGACTAGGGCAGCAGAAACAAAGTGATTTGACTCCTAAATTGCATTGAATTGAGCAGTGAGACTGCATTGGCATGATCAATACACAAAAATTGCTTAAAGGACCACTATAGGTCACCCAGACTACTTCAGCTCAATGTCCCCCAGGTTTTAACCCTGCAGCTGAAAACATAGCAGAGAAACTGCTATATTTACATTGCAGGGTTAATCCAGCCTCTAGTGGCTGTCTTCCTGACAGCTGCTAGAGGCGTTTCCCCCGATGCTCAATGCAAACATCGCATTGAGCACGCAGAACGTCCATAGGAAAGCATTGAGAAATGATTTCCAATGGGCGTTTTTAATGCCCATGCGGCTCCACTCCGGAGCTGACATCGAAGGGGGAGGAGAGGTCACCAGCGCAGAGAGAGCCCTGCGCGGGATAAAGGTAAGTGGCTGAAGGGGTTTTAACCGCTTCAGCCCAGCGGCAGCGAGGCCTTAAGGGTGGGGGGACCCTAAGGATTATATAGTGTCAGTGAAACGGGTTTGTTTTCCTGACACTATAGTGGTCCTTTAAACAGAAGTTGTTTTGGTGACTATAGTGGCCATGTAATACACTATAGCAGGGGTTCCCAACCCAGTCCTCAAGTAACCCCAACCAGTCTAGGATTTACGGATTACTTGTCTAAAAAGTGGTTTGTTTTTTTCCCCTTCTAAAAAACCCTTACACACAACTCGGTAATCCCTAACTTTTGGACTGGTAGGGGGTACTTGAGAACTGGGTTGGGAACCATTATAAGCACTATAGTCACCAAACAAGGAGTCTACATTAAAGCATTGTTTTATAGAATATGATTTTACCTAGAGGTATTGCTAATGTATAGAGTAAGAATTTTTTCCTCAGCCTGTAGGTTGTGCCTATCATAATGGCTTACCAAAATAAAACCTACGATTGCTATATGACAAAAGGGAAACATACACATAGTATATAGATTGTGTATATATATATATATACACACACACGTAAAAATAAAAAGAGCAGGCTTGGAAACGTTCTCAATTATTGTTATTAGCATAAAATGTGAAATAGACTTTGAAGTGCTGAAAATTCAAATTTTTTGTGAAGATCCCTGCAAGTTTGTTTCCCGGTCTGTGCATGTGTAAACATCTGAAAGTATACTATGTCATCTAGAGATCTGCTGTTAATAATCATTTTGTAAAATAACTTGTACTATTGCTGTTGAGAACAGAAAAGCAAGGCAGGCAGAGGTGAAACTGTACAACATGCTGGAATCCACATACTAAATATTAAAACACGGAGCTGTATGGTTTATCTTACCAATAGTTCAGGGGGCTGTCACCTCTATAGAAACATCGCATTGGTTTACACTATATGGCCATATTGTGTTTAAAAACACCATCCCCCTTCCCTTACAAAAGTACCCCAATATCAATAGGCTCTTCAATTTTTTTTTTTTTTTAAATCATCATCATCTCTGGGAAACAATATATGCTGCAAACTGCATCACTACCTATCTGTTCCAATCAACTCTTCTACAATTTCAGCACCTTTCATGACACCTACATGTGATGGATGGGGCAATTCTAAAAGCCCAGGCAGGGTTAGTAGTTCTAGATGCACCACAAATTAATATTTTTGTATGTAATGGCCATCCAGGTTGGACAGAATTGACGCTGAGACAGGAAGTCTACATTATTGATGTAGGTGAATAGGGGGCAATCTGTACATGGCATAGAGAGACTAATTTCTCAAAACAGCAAAGTGGGTGATTATTTAAAAAAAAAAAAAAAGGTTAAAATAACCACCAGAGCGCAGTAAAATGGTTATGATGCCAAGAGAACTTTCTTAAGGTTTGCGTCCTCACACATGAGATCATTTCACTTTTGCATTCTATGCAAAGAGTGTCAGGCAGAGTAAAGGTTTGACAATACACCAGGAACAGTACCCAGAGACTGTTGGCAAAAAAACAACTTTTTTCACATTTGTTAAGGACTGTTGGCACCAAGGATATTCCTGATCTACCAAATTACATTTCCACAGACTTCTGCAAATCGCAGTTGTACTGAAGGCCTGCTGGTGATAGAAATTTTTGTCAGAAAGTCTCAAAATAAAGCTTCTGGGCCAAAAGATTTAAATATGGAAACCTATTGGAGCTGCTCGTTTGAGACCATACCATTTACAATAAAAACTTGCCCCTGTTTGTTTCATTTATACTCCAGCAGAAATGCAACACTATTTATATGTATACAGCACTTTTTTTGTTTTTAGTTCATTTCTGTTAGCAGGTGTCAACACTTCCCTTTTCATCTGGCAGCTTTATTAGGCCACGAGGACTTTACATTGTATTAGTAGCTATCCACCACATTCATTCATTCAGCCCACCTTCAATTTTTGATTGACTGCAAGGCATGTAACCAATATGCAACAACAAAAAAAAACAAAAAAAAAAACACTGTACTAATCTAGTCCTGCAAAGGATTCATTGGAAGAAAAAAAAAAAAAAAATAGTTCCTTAACTTGGTTTGGGCAAGATTACCAGCGGAAAAACTGCAAGAGAGGTTTCCCAGTACCAAAAAAAAAAAAAAAAGGGAAATAAATAATTCAGTACCACAACACTTCCAGACTCATCCACTAAAGCAGGCTTCCCCAAACTCCGGCCCTCCAGATGTTGCTGACCTACAACTCCCATGATTCTCAGCCTATACCATTCATAGAATCATGGGAGTTGTAGTTCAACAACATCTGGATGGGCCAGAGTTTAGGGAATAGATATGAATGTTCAGGAAGTGGCAGAGGGAAAAAAAAACAAAAAAAAACCCCCCCACACAGTATCTTACCTATATTCCTAGTTTCGCCATTTTAAAACAGTCATAACGGAGTTTCCTGGAAGTTTACACTTCAGTGAATAAACAAACCTGTTGCGGGCTAGTTTCAGAACCACAATTAAATAAATACAGCAGAGTTGGACCATATGTTCAAATCTCCTTTGACCTTAAAATGTGTTAATTCAAATCACTGCTATGTGAACAAACTCCTCAGTTTTACCAAAATAAAAATACCAATATCAAGAATTGGAATTTCAAGATAATGTGCCTTTTTGCAATGGTTTCTGGCCTTGCATGTTTAGACACCTCTGTAAAACAGTTCACATGCTGATTGATAGAATATAGCTATCTATCTCAGATATACATACAAAATGCACCCCTATAACTTGGCAGTGCTTGGATTTAATATGCATTAAAATCATCCCTGTAGGATTATACAACAGCACACAAAATTAGTTTGTCATTCATCTTTATCAGGTAAATTGAATATAACAGCAGTCTGTGGCTCTAAATGGAATCTGGAGAAAATGTGACATTATAGAACTTTAGTTGAAATGGGGAATACAGAAGCCATGTTGGAACCAACACCACGTCTGAGCAAAAAGACAGGAGCGGTAACACAAGATCCACAATGGCTTCACTAAATACAGTTTGTATTTTATTCCCCACCCTGATCCACTTTATTGTAAAGCTCAACATATTTTAAAGCAGCAGTTTTGTCAGGCATGTACACAGTTCCTTGGAGAAAAAGGAAATAGAAAGTGGCCTCCTCATTAAATTGGGTTGATTTTATTATGTATATTTATTTTTAACACCCCACTTAAATCTTTAAAACACAAAGAGGGTAAACACCAGTACTTGGTACTGGAAAGTTTGTCAAGAACAACGCTCCCCATTTTAAGGGGGAAAATATTTATACACATATATAAATACTGTTAAAGAGTCCTTAAAATAAAATAAACGGTTACTAACTTTGGAGTAACCGCTCCAGTTCTGGGTCAGTTTACTACCCCCACTGGAGTCCCCATTTGCACATCAATGGCAAAATACGTTGTTTGAAACACAGATCCATATTTTGTTTTAGATTTGACTGGGGTATCGAAATTAAAAGGACGGCCACTGCAGATCAAAACTCCTGCTTCTCCAGGATCAGCGCAAAGGTTTTCCCCATTTTGTATTTATTTTATCTGTAACATGGAGTAGTATAGCTGAGCTGTCCGGTTTAACAAGAATACAAATAAAACAAAATTTGAAGTGTTATGGACACATACACATCTTACACTTATGTATCTAATTACAGGGGCTCCTCTGCATCATGTCGAGAAAGGAATAGGTTGTGAATGTTTTCCTATACACTTAATGCTCCCATGGCTTCTATACATGTATAACATTCAGAGGCTCATGAAAATATGGTTCCTATCTTCCAATGTGAGGGATTCTGCAACACCTTGCTCACAGTGCCATCTGCAGCACCACAGCCTGCACTTTAATATACACACACCAGCAGACTCGTTCCTGAGGAGGGAATGGGGCAGAGAGTGGGTCACAAGGGGGTGGAATGTGCAGGATTAAGGAATAAATACCTTTTTAAAGAGGTATTGGGGAGGTCACTCTATGCAAGACTCCAGTGGCAGTGTGTAGACAGCAGATACGTTCAGGGCGAGGTGATAACTACCTCTTCTGTGTTTTGTTTTTGATCGACTGCCTCAGGAATCTCTCACACGCAGGCAAAAATTCATTTTAGGGAAGGGTAGAAATAAAAGTAAAATATAAATAAATAAAAGAAGACCCTGCAATTTAAATATAATTTGTTCTATCAGCCCTCTTCAGGAAGAGTAAGAACAAAAATAAATTCAGAACACATGGGCATGGGATCCCTTGGCATTTGCCTCTGAACTCTGCTGCCATGGGGTATTCACTTGAATGTAAGGCTTTTGCCTTTGTGCACAACTGGATATGCCACCTTGTTGATTTACATCAATAGTCACATTATAATGAGAATTGATCACAGGCAAATCATTGCACGTGACTCTACTTCCCACTACCCCACCCCCTGGGCAGCTCGGGACATCCTTCCAAAATCCATCAATATAAAAATAAAGCAATCCCACAGCACCCTTTGTGTAAAGTTTTCTTTTACCCCCCCATTTTTTTTCCCCTCTTATTTTTTTTTAACTCAGTAAGGGGAGATCATCTCCAGCTATAATGCTGGGAAAGGAGAAGTGTAGTAAGAGTCCCAATGACCCAGCCTCTGGATTCCCACTTAAGAAAAAGAATGTAACATTTGGCTCACTCCCCTTTCCCCTCCTCCCACGCACATTTTCTGTCATGAAGGTCAGAAGGTTTGTTGAATGCATTTGGTGCAGGTCTCTTAGCAATGGCCTGCAGCCGGCACCCAAACACTCTCACTCAGACACCCCTTTACTATCAGAATTCATTTTGAAGAGTGATGTTTCCTGAGAGTGCTAATTCTCTTCAATTAGATTTAAATCCAGGTCCGCGAAGTCATGCTGGAAGAGCATTGCCTGGGGGCAGGAAGCATGATCTCGCCTGCCTATGTCTTCTTCGCTAAATGCCAGTGTGCAGGTGGTGACCGGACTCCCAGTGGTGCAAGGAGACTCCCCATGACAAGCCATAAAAGGAGATGATGAGCTGCCTTCATCAGAGTTGTCCAAGAAACACATAGCACCAACATTCTGTAAGAAATAATACATTTCAGTAAATTGGATTCACAACCCCCCCCCCCCAACACAAGCCATAAAGCCTTCCTTCCATTAAAGATCACCTGGTTCATCTTGTAGAAGTCCAGTGAAGGACGATGCCATCGTGTATCCTCCTCATGCCTCCGCTTGATTCCACATTTTCTTGTGTCCAGATCACAAGGCTGTGATTGGCTGCGTGGGAGACACTGCTGCCGTCGGACCAGCTCTGGTGTGGAAGGTGGGGAGCTGCTGGTTGAAGGAAGGAACCGTCCTGCATCCTTGATAAGTACAGGTGACAGTGAAAAACGGCGCTGCAATGGGAAGCAGCTTGGCCCTTCTGTGTTGTCCCAGAATACACCAGTTGGGGAAAGGGTACATGGGCCTGGTGACTCCCGACACAAGGCCAGACTGAAGAAAGGAGGGCTGTTGGCTTGGATGCAGCGTATAGAGGCACTGGGGTCATTTTGGAACCTGAGACTGGAGACCCCTTGGGATGGGTTTTGAGTCTGCACTCCCAGCACTGCCCCAACCCCACCGCTATTACATCTCCTCTTAACTGGAGTCCAAACTTTAGAACCACTAGGCCGCCAAACTGGCCGCCAGCGCGAAAGGTCCTCTGGCACTGATAAGGAGCGGCAGTGTCTCTTGGTAGGGGGTGCTGGAGGAGCAGCAGAGTTCCCTGCCTCAGGAGCGTGGGAAGGGCTCCTACGGTGGGGTGAGCTCTCCCTGCTCAAAACAGGAAAATGGAGGCTCAGGCTGGAGTGGTGATGACAGCCAAGTCGAATCCCATCTTCAAGTTCAATCCTCGGACAATGACTGATCAGTCCCCAGGAGCGCTCTTCTAGAAAATACACATTCAGAAAAAAGTTATATAGAGGACAGACCCGTTGGCAAATAAAAGACATATGTTCTTAATTAATCATTATCGTCTTATGTAATTATCTTCTTAAAATATATCATTTTCAAGATGGCAGCCTAAAGGCTGTTTGGTGATATTCTCTATAAACATGTGTACCAGTGATACAAAATCAAATATAAAACTTTGGTGTAGAGATTAATAAATAAAATAAAAAAATCCAAATGTAATGATTACAACTAGCATCCCATGAGGTAACTGATTATTCTAATAAAAAGCAGGCATTGCTGATCTTAACCGGATAATACCAGTCACCTTGTGCTCAATCAAAGAATGATTTCATAGGAACAAGACAGAATGTGTTGTAACATGTTATTTTAAGGTACAGATCCAAATATACTGAAATTTAATAATCACAACAAAAAAAAAAGTCTGTATCAGTAACAATTTTACATAAATGTACTTGGGTGCCACAGAGTAAAAAAAATAAAATAAAAAAATAAATTAAATTACTATTGCAATTTGTAAGTTTGTTTGTTGATAAAATCAAAACTGTGCAGCAAGTAATTGATGGACAGAATGAATAGAGGCAGCTTCTAACATGTCAGTTTATCTTGAGCATGGATTTTAATTCCTGAATAGAGACCTTCTTAGCTAAACACCAAGGTCAAATAGGGCCCTTAATACATTTTTTTTTTTATTTTTTTTTAACTACCTTCAATGAACACTATAGGGTCAGGAACACAAACATGTATTCCTGACTCTATAGTGTTAAACCCTCCCCCACCCTAAATATAGTAAAATCTTACTTGTATTCAAGTCTGCAGCTGCTGTGAAATGATACCGTGAGCCAATCACAATGTTTTCCCATAGGATTGGCTGAGACTGTCAAGGAGGCAGATCAGGGGTAGAACCAGCACAAGCCAAACACAGCCCTGGCCAATCAGCATCTTCTCATAGAGATCCATTGAATCAATGCATTTCTATGAGGCAATTTCAGTGTCTGTATGCAAAGGGTGGAGACACTGAATGACAGTACTGCACACTAGGTAGCACCTCTAGCAGCCATCTGAGGAATGGCCAGTGGAGGTATTCCTAGGCTGTAATGTAAACACTGCATTTTTCTCTGAAAAGACAGTGTATACTGCAACAAGCCTGAAGGGAATAATTCTACTCACCAGAACAAATACAATAAGCTTTAGCTATTCTGGTGACTATAGTGGCCTTTAATTCTTTCCCATTGTCTAGAATATCCATTATATTGATTGATATATGACAACCATAAAAAGCGGTTCTATCCTTTCTGATCAAACTTTTAATTTAGGGCAAAGTATTCTACATTCTATTCTAGAGTTCTATATTTTCCAATGATTTCCCCCCTCAAAAAAACATCAAAATGTTATAATAAGAGCACCAGAGTATGGAGGACTTCACACACATAGAAAATGTGAAGAGTAAAAAAAAAATTTACCTGTAACAAAGTGAAAGGGGCTGCTGGTTCCCTCAGGGTCGGTCTGACTGGGCAATGGCTGGGAGAAAAATACAAAGAAAAAAAAAAAAAAAAAAAAAAAAAAAAAAGACAGTTTTTTTAGAATTCCCAATGCCGGCAGCCACATACTCTGGGGAAAAAGTAGATTATGCAGATAGCTCATATGTCACAGAACATGCATAACATTTAAATCCATTCCCTGAATTCACGGTATATGTAGTCCAACAAGGAATGAACAGGGCGAATTTGATGGGTAATCCCACAAGAGGAATGTAAGTGTTAGAGAAGGGGGAGCAATAGGATTATTGTGCAATTGTTTAAATAAATAGGAGAATCCATCCAACAAGTAGACTGGTTCATTCAACCAACGGTGAACGGTTAATAAATCCAACCTGTTTTTTCACTAAACTGGTTTTTGTGGTATTGACATAGGAATCTTGTGTTTGCTTATATATTAGATTTTTCTTTTTTTTGTAGCATCAGAACGAACATTTAATAACCTATCAATAGATAATCAGAGGAATTTCTAGACATTTAATGATTTTACCAACTCTAATAGCCTATTTTTTACATTTTAAACAATTTTAGCAGTGTGCCTCCAATTTTGATATATAAAAAGGTATTGTGGTGTAAAAACATGTGGGGACATTCATATATCACGTTAGTACTTAGTTTAGGAATGAAATAACTTAAAATATTAGGCTAAATTTTCTTCAACGGCATTGTCAATATAGAGACGCCATCTTTTCTGGTCATTTTACAACACAAAACCTCAAAGGAATGGCTGTGGAAAAGAATATCTATTCAATAAAATTTACTTTAGTATTCCACACATTTGTGGCTGTACCAACATAATCCATGTTGCTTTAAAAGAGAGCAGTACAAATAACCGGTGATGTAGAAGTAGGACTCAATACAAGCTTGAACTGTAAACTAAACACGAGGGTACAATTAAGCAAAACATAGAAGACATTTAATTGCACCGTTATTGAAACTAAATCAATGTTTTTTCTATATAGGACCAGATTACAGTTTCCTAAAGACTCAGATTAGGCGCGGAAAGGTCTACTTTGTCAAACAGTAAAGATTACATTAAAGGATCCCTCTCCATAAACACCTCATCTTAAGAAGTGGTCAGGGTACAAAACCTCGTTTGAGCAGCCTTTTGTTATGGCGATAAATTCCCAATAAGTTGACTTGTCGAGGTTTGCCCAAGAGCCAAAACAAAGAAAAAAAAATATATATCCCATCACTTTAAGTGAAAAGGGCTAAAACGCTTATAAGACAATGTGAGACTCTGGCTGAGGCTAGAGGAGTTAAAAATATACATCTGATGTAATGTGATAGCCAAGCACTTGCTTAACAGTTTATGTGTAATACAACTCCAATCAACCTCATCCATTGGTTGAGCATAAGACGTTTTGTCTACAAGAGCTTTAAATAGCAAGCCACCATTTTAATGGAAATCTAAAACTGAATACTTAAAAACAGCACATGAACTAATGCAGCCATAAAGTATGATTTAATTTTTTTGTTTTAATACAAATCCGTAAATCACCTCTTAAAAAAGTCCAATGCCCAGCACAAAAAAAAATAAATAGACATGCTGGGCAAAAAGGGAGACTAACTTTGTTAGCTGTAGGGGCCCACACTGGAGCTAACAACTCGTAAGTATTTATGGTTTAGGAAACATTTATGCAAAAATCTGAATAAATCTGACTTAGAAGTTTAAATCTTTTTTTTTTTTTTTAAATGCTGTAACCATCTGGGTATGTTGGCACTGAAAACCAGTGGATAACAAGTCAAAGTTGATCACAGAGTACTCACAATCAAAAATCTACATTTCCACTATGGTGGAAAGTCAGAATGAAATCACTTAGACCATCTTGCCCCAGTTGTAGAGGCTGACTAAGGCTGGGTTGAGATTCAATAAGTACAAGATAAGTAAAGACTACTTTGTCTTCTGGATAAGCCAATTTTTGGCATAATGTAGCAAAAGCTGCCAAATCTTGCCATTTCTCCATCAGCCATTACAAGTCATGACAGACAGAAAACCGGCATTGGATCACACAGATAATGGAATCCTTATTGGCCATGTACAAGAATATATCTATAGTAAATTACAGCGTCTCATGGGTTCTTCCAGAGGCCCTCATTTTTGTACTTTGAGACCAGTGACATGGTTGTGGTCAGGGGAGATTAGGTCAGTTCCAGTACGTAGATTCTCTCTCCCCCCTCCCTGCACCCTTCCTTCTATATGGGGGTGCCATCAGACAAAAAAATAAATTTTCAATGGCGGGGGCAGAGTGGGTGGAATTCCATTTTAAAATTATCACCACGTTTTCCCCACCCAAGTGGACTATTCAGAAAAAATACCTGGCCTACAAGTACAAAAGAAATAATAAATATCAGCAGGTCATTTGTAAGATAAGATATTCTATTCTATTAGAAATTACCAGAATGCATTTTATATAGTGTACGGACTTGCATGGGAGGAGGGGAGACACGACGACAATATCTTAAATGATTGGTCATACACATTAAGAAAAAAAAACGGAAAAAAAAACAAACAAAACAAAAAAAAAAACATTTATGAAAACATTTGAGAAAGTCCAATTGTGTTTATTAACACCCCCCTGTCACATAAATAAAGAAGATATATATTATATATACACTTTTGTTCAACTCTTCCAACAACCCATTATAGAAACTTGTAGGGTAAAAGACCTGTCACATGGCATTTAAAAAAAAAAATAAGATAGGCATGTCTATAGTTGCCGGGAAGACTGGACATTAGGATTGAGTATCCTGTTTAACTGCCAATAACCCGGTTAGTAAAATAACAAAATAAAAGTGAAGTTAACTAAGTTTTTACACAGCTAACAACTAAGTTATAGTTTTTATTTTTGTTCTCTTCAGATAAAGATGCATTGTGTTTGCAAACTAGCTACTGAACAATTTTGTAAAACCACTGCGAAGCAATATGGTAGCAAAATGTCACATTCAGGGGGCAGATATGTATACATAAGCAGGAGCTTAAACTCATATCCGAGTGATAAAATCAAGGCTTAAAATATAAAAAAGTTAGATTTGCTAGTAAATCGTCTTGCTGTATTCATTTTGCTAATGATTTCTGTATAAAAAGGAAGCCTGTTACTCAACTGATAACTTCACTGTACCTTGTGCTGATAAGTAATGATGGCCTTGAAATCACAAGTGACAGTGCAGTAACAAAGATTATAGAGAACTAAAAAGGAACATACTTTGGTTAATAAAGGAAGTCACTTCAAAGCATGACATTTTTTTGAGAGAGATGCAAATTTAGCTATTAGACGACTAGAATATTCTTAGTTCTCTGACTTGGGCAATTTGGAATCGTGTGTTGGGTAGAAGTGCGCCTTAATCCAGAGTTCACTTGCCGTTCTACACAATCTTCTCTGTACCGCATATTTTTCCCACTTATGGTCTCTAATTTGGATGGTAAGACTGGAGAATTATTTTTAAATATATATATAATTAAAAAAAAAAAAAAATATGGTACTGGTCTGTTTAAGAGTACAGCAGAACTTAAGACTTCATTCATAAACAATACGGCTTTAAAATAATATTTGAAGTTCTGGAGTGTACATGAACGTTATAGCAAACACATTTCAGATGAAAAGGCTAGAAAACCATCTGTATTTTTGCACAATATTTTTTCTTTCTTACAGCAACAATGTCCAGTATGGGAATAACCTTGATTACATGAATGTTTGACATTTTTTACTTCTTAAAAAAATAAATAAAAAAAAAAACGGTAACCAGAATCTAAAGAAAACGGAATATGAACATCAAAAGTAATTGTTTTCACGTTAGTGCTCTTTTCATGAAAAGATAGCTATAAAATAAAAATGCAAAATCGAACACGAGTGGTTTACTTTCAGACTACATACAAAATAATCTTGCTAAATTTTAATTAAAACAAGTTTGAGGAAAATACAAGTAGATGGCCCAAAATTCCTGCAGAGCATATTCTTGCTGACAATACCTGTGATCTTTTATCTTCAAATGGATCAAGACCTAGTCTGTCATTTGTATAAATACTCAAAACTATTGGGTTTAAATAAGTTGTGAGGGTAAGCAGATCATTTTCATGTAAAATTACATACAATTTAAACTTTTTTAAGCCTAACAGATATATACATTTTTTTTTTTATGGAGAGACCATTACTGTGAGTTACACTTTAGGTGTACAGCATTAAACAAGTAAATCACACATAAATGGCCTTACCAAGCTTATACTGAAAGATTTGCATTTCAGATCCTCCAGACTTTGTTTTTGCAATTGTTCTGTAATCATGGAGATCATGATGGTCAGGTCTGGCTTCTCGTCTGTCTTCTCAATAACCAGTATAGGACATGATGGCTACTTCAGTGCCAGTCTTTACTGGGCCTAACCCAGCCGGAAGCTCAATTGGACCCCATCATTCCATCCTGTATTACACAGACACATATAGTCAGTCTGAGAAAGGGGGAACCAAAATTAATCAATACACTCTGCTCCACCAGGCACCAAATAAACAGGACCTCAAACTACAAGTATCGACAGGGACGTGTACATGGCATTAGCCTTGCAACCCATTGGTTTCTAAAATTAGTTCACCCCTATTCTTCAATAGATACATAATGGTCTCAATGCACAGTGAAAGGCAGGGATACTACAATAAACCAGTAAGTTGATTGAAGCTTGGCAAAATATGAATAGCCTGCGCCAACGGACTGGGACATAAATTTGCAACAGAACTCAAAATTGGGTTCCAAACCATTGGATAAGAACCACGGTAACAGCACCAAGTTGGAATGTTAAGAACACTCGTTCATTCCTCAACTACCCTTACATCCCTGCTTCTAACATGCCATCATTTTCAGTTTACTCCTACTGCACTATGCCAGGAAAAAAAAAATTAAAGCACATGCAACAGGACTGCAAGCAATATAACTGGGCTGTTTTTATTATTTTAAATTGTAGTATAAGAAAAAATTGGCAGACTCATTGACCTTATACTTGGAGCTTTAATAGTGCCTTAGGCCTCTAGCAAGCCCCAAAATCAACAATGGATGAATGGGAAGATCATCCTGTTTCATGAATGGGGAGCCTTGTAAATAGAAGCAGGCTCCATCTCTGGTTATTCTGCACCCTGGAGGGGTCTCATTCATCCTGACTGCAGACACAGGAGCCTGGAGATTGATGCTCCAGGATCCTGACATGGGGGGTGCTGGGCTCATACAAGGTATGGGGGGGATACAGTGTATCTCCAGACCCCCCTGATACCCAGTGCAGGGCCGGCCTTCCTGCCGGTGACAGGGATGCAGGAGCAGGCCCCCCGGTGACTGCAGCCCTGGCTGTGGGTGAGAAGGAGTTAAAAGGCTTGTTTATCTCCCTCCTCAGGAGATGGCCTGACCGGCGCCTTCCCGCGGGCCCCTACCCTGCGCTGCTCGGCTTACCGGGGGCCCATCACATCCACCCCTCCGTGGCCCTCCCCTACGCCCTCCATCCACCGCCCCCACCTGCCTTGCCGTTTACCTGCCCCCCGACAACGACCCTCCCTGCGACCCAGAGCAGCTCTGAGCCACTAGCGGCCCTGCAGCGTCCTTAAATACCGCCTGGACCGAACCACTCGCGCAGGGGTGCGCACGGCAATCCGGCGTTGCGAAGCAGGGCGCGGGGAACCCCCCAATAGCCTCACCGGGGCTCGGGGCCGCATGGTACAGGGATATCGCCCTCCGAGGGACTGGGGGGAGAGCGCGCAGGTGGTGTCGGGGAAGCCGGTGCGCACCTTGGCCAGGTAGCTCACCCCTGCCAGACTAGTAGGCTGGCCCGGTCCCTATTGCGGAACAAACCACCCCTCGCATAGACGGGGGGCACCGGCTGGGTTCAGGCAGTCTGCTGGGCTAACCGGGAGCGGGGTGCGCCGAGCCGCGGGTTCTCTTCAGGCTCGCGGAGAGTTTTCGGACTCGCTGAACACCAGTATGGGCCGCGAGGTGACATGGGCACAACCGATTACAGCATAGGCCACCGACAGCCCACCCCCCTCATCGCCCCATGTCTGTCGTGTGTGGCGCACAGGATGCCGGTAGTTGTAGTTTCCGGGGGGTAGGGAGGGGGGGTGTTCTGTTATACAGGGGATACAGGGTTGGTTTTTTGTTTTTTTAATTATTGTAAAATATATGAAATTCACAAGAATTTGATGACTGCTTAAATATGGTCTGCATTAGATCTGCAGGTAAAGCCATAAGGTTAATTTATGCTTTAAGTTCTATACTACAGAAAATAAACTATGGAAAGGAGTCCCCAGCAGTAGTGGAATTACAACTCCCATAACCCTGTGCAATGGGAACTGTAGTGTCACAGCAACTTGGGGTCTGCTATATGAGCTTTGTAATTCATATTGTTTTGGATTAGTGAGGTGGGATATCAAAGTGTAATGTTTTGTAAATTTGTAAAAGTAGGGCAATCACCTTGGAAACCAGATGAATATGCAGGAAGATTCCATTGGTGATTACTCCAGCTTTACAACTTTTTTTTTTTTGCACAACTTTTCAGAATTCTTTTGAGATAATATAAATATATATATATATTTATTTATTCCCATCTATTTCCAATAACACCCAGCCAGACATCTGCCTGAGCATCATGGGAAATGGTGTGCAAAAACAGCTGGAGTACCAAAGGTTAAAAACTAATGATACAAAGATTTCCATTCAATGTGCAAATGTAGTTCAGAGCAGGAAGTGTGAGATAAATCAGACCTGGCCTGGAGAGACTTCTGGAGTGATCTGTATTTCCTGTTCAATATGACTGCTTTAACCAGAAGCCAGCAAATCCTACGCACTGTGAACTTAGCTTTGCTTTATTTATTATATGAAAAGCAGGCCAGTGTTCGATCAGTTCAGCATAAAGCATTTGTTAATGTGAGAAAACATTCCCATACCTTAGTGTTAACTTAATAAATTTGTTTCAACATGTTTTTCCCAATCACTTTATTAAAGTTGAATGAATTTGCATGCAGGGAAAAAATCAGTTAATGAAAGAGAAATACTCGAAGTCATTTATTCAAAATTCTTGTAGTAAGTGAATGCTACATACTGCAAGACGTCACCTCTAATGTGCTGTCTATTAATATGAAGTCATGTGGGTGTAGACATAATGGTAGGGAAGAATTTGTTTGTATAAACCTAGTATCTAGAATGTGTACAACATTTTTAGCAAACTTACCCATAAAAACACTTTTTATGTAATTGTTTTTAATTTTGATGATTAATGGGTCCCAATAAGCAGAAAAAAAACTTTAACTTTATTGATCATGGCCCAGCAGTCTCACTGCTCAATTCTCTGCCATTAAAGCGTTCATTCACTTTGTCGATGCAGTCCTAGCCACATATCCCATACACGTGACCTACACTTCCTGTAAAAAGAGATCTAATGTTTAATCTTCCTTTAAGTTAAACACATATGGGAGCTTCATATGTGTGGTTAAAATTCAAGATCAGGAGATAAAAACTTCTATAGTGAACACACTGTACTGATAAAAAAAAAATTGTTGTGGAAATAAGGTCTACACATATTTCCTAGTTAGTGAAAAATGTCTATTTACTCATTTCACGATATATATATATAGCTAAGCACACACGTTATAATTAAGATGGCTGCTAGAAGCTTCTTGCTCCCTTCCCTTTCTCCTTCCTAACATCGACTAACTACCTGCGTGCACCAAGATGGGCGCCGGGAAACCGTGGGGAGACCCTCATGGCCCCGGTGACATCACCTACAGTAGGCAGAGCATTAGAGCAACCACTTAACACCTAACCAATTATTGATGTATTATTCCATGTTATCTCTGACAATGCTTATGATGTAATTTTGCTTTAAAGGGACTTGCCGTCCCCTCTGAATAAACTTTTCCTCAAGTTATTCAACAACCTGGAACCTGTGTCTGGTGTGAATTACTTCAGGGAGCGTGCACGCACTTGTTTCATGATTTGGCCAGGGGCAGATACACAAAGAAATAATCAATACTTTTAATTGATTTTTCCATTTCAATTGGCGCCCAACGTGGGGCCACCGGAGGGCCGGTTCGGAGGGCCGGAACCAACGGACCGGAGCGGACCTCCGGAAAGTGGGACAAGCGGAGCCTGATCACCTCCATAATACAGCCGTTGCCTGTGTTATTCTCCTGTTTTGTGTCGGTCTGTCTCCGAGTCCACTTCCGGCTTCCAGAAGGCTACTAGAGACAGGTAATTAACTCATCCGGTGTGCCTTTTAAGGTGAACCTGTCGATTGTCTATCTGCCTCCTGTATTTGTTTGAATGTGTGTGGGCCGGAGTGTGTGTTTTCCCCCTTTTTTAAAAGACGATAGCTTGACTGCCTAGCGGGCAGGGAACGCATTACAGCCGGTGGGGCTGGGATTTTACAGCCGGTGGGGCTGGGATTTTAAGTTAGCTTGACTGCCTAGCGGGCAGGGAACGCATTACAGCCGGTGGGGCTGGGATTTTAAGTTAGCTTGACTGCCTAGCGGGCAGGGAACGCATTACAGCCGGTGGGGCTGGGATTTTAAGTTAGCTTGACTGCCTAGCGGGCAGGGAACGCATTACAGCCGGTGGGGCTGGGATTTTACAGCCGGAGGGGCTGGGATTTTAAGTTAGCTTGACTGCCTAGCGGGCAGGGAACGCATTACAGCCGGTGGGGCTGGGATTTTGTTTGTTTATTACTGTGCTCTCATTAATACTTGTGTTATACTGGGACCAGCCTGGTGGGTGAAGGCTGAGGATTGCTATACTTCGTTTATTCAGCACTGGTGTCATTAACATGTACATGGCCATTTTACTCTCTGTCATCCTGTGGTTCTTGTTTAATTGTTGTTACAGCGTGGGTACCCTTGGTGTGTGCGTGTGTATTGTGTGGTTAGTTCTGGACTCCGGAGTCTATGCTCATTTATATGTTTGTGATTTTTGCAAATGTCTTCTCATTAGCGCAGCCACGTTCATCTTTTCTTTTGTGCTTTATCTCTCCTGTGCCTGTTGCCCAGAGCTGTGTTAGTCACCCACGCTCATTCGCTCCCGTCCGTGACCACCACCCCGGGTGGGCGGATCTCCGTGACTAGTCTACGTTTGGGGAAGACGCACGGGGCTCAAGTTCTCGTGGCAGTCGAGCACTGTAGACACTCCTTCTCCCCTCCTTTCTTATACCTCCTCTATCCATCTGTCTTTAACGAGTGGCACGCTTTGTTTGGTCAAGATGGGGCAGGAACATGCTAGACCTGCTAAAGGTTTATTGGCTTGTGATATTGTGAAAGAAAGGGCGGGGGAAGATGCTATGATGAAACTTAAAAAGATTGCTAAGGTGTGTGGCTTTCAGATGTTACCCAGTGGGAGATTGCAACCGGAGTTTTGGAGAAAGCTACTCATAGATAAGGAAGGTTTATTGTTGGATAACGGACTGACAAAGGTTGCAGAGGCTTGGAATCGTGTAGCCAGAGGTTTGAAACGGGAAGGATGGGTCGAGGAAGAGTTGGAATTTGAAGGGCAAATTGTGCATGTTTACCATAGGAGTGTTCACAATGATGATGTTGTTTCCATTGTTCCACGGCCACCACCCTATGATGGCGCCCAGAGCGCAACAGTAAATTCCCGCCCTGCTTCTCCCGTCACAGCTCAGACCCCACCCCCTGGGGGTGTGCCTACAGCCCCCACTCCCCTATGTCCTGTACTCGGTGTAGACGGAGCTTACTATTTCCCAGTGCCACATCACTCGTTCCCACCCACTCCCATGCCCCAACCCTCCTGTGACCAGACCCCCTCTTTCAACCATCATCCCGCTATGTCCATCGGAGCCCCCCCACCTCCATGCCCTCCGTTACCTTTCCCAGCGCCAGTCCTCACCCCGAGCACTGCCCCGACTATTCCCGCCTCGACCATGGAAGTTCCATCCCCCTCCTCCTCCCAGTCCCTCTCCACTTTGAGTACCCCTTCCCTAGTAGTCCCCGCTCCTTCTCCCTCTCCGTCCATCCTACGTCCTACACCCCCCACTCCTACCTACCCAACCGACCCTGTCTCCCCGGACCCCTGTCCCCCGGTCGACTCTCCCTCTCCGGTATCCTCAGGAAACCCCGTGACCCCTAGCCCTGCACCTCCATTGTCCCCCACTCCTTCTCATCCACTCTCCTCCTCCTCCTCATCTTCCAAAGATCCCCCGTCCCTACTCTCCGCTCTCATGAATCTTGTTCAGCCCGTTAGTCCAGGTTCCTTTACCTCCGGCCCCCTATCCACAGATACCCCTCCCATCCTTAAGGATCCTCTCACTCCTCCTCCAGCGTTACCTCCTCCTGGAGCCCCAGCCCCCTCTGCCTTGTTGCCTCCTACTCCCGCGGCCGATTTGCCGTCCCTGATCTCCGCCCTCACCACCCTAACCCAACCTCCCGTCGCCATCCCCCCGGCCTCTTTTCCCCTGTTACCACCCCCCGACATCCCTGCCCCCCCGACCCTGACACAGGCCCTTGGTCCCGTCCCTCCGACCCTTTCCCCCGTGACCCCTGACACACACATGACCAATGACCTGTCCGGCTCAATATCCGCCCTCTTCACTGCTGTTACTTCCCTAGTTACTTCCGCGATCCCCGTACCACCTCCCATTGACGTACCTCCTCTTCCTCCTCCTCCTCCCCCCGAACCTCCGACCCCACCCTTGTCTCCTGCCGAAGTCCCCGAGCCCCCCGATCCAATCTCCGCCCTTGCACATGTCCTAAATACACACCTTTCACGCCCAACCCACCCGGCCCCTGTGACAGCCCCTTCCACGGCTTTGGTCCCTCGTGTCCCTTCCGCCAGTCCAAGTTACCCAATCATGGTGGTTGGATCCGAGGTGTCTGGGACATCTGACCAGCCCTATGCAATGGGTGCCTCCCCCCAGGCCTCGGGTTTCCACCCAGTTACCTTACCTACCACAGCCCTCCCTGTTGTCCCCGCTACAGCTACCCCTGAGGCTACCCTCCGCCGTGGCTCAGTGTTGCCCGAAGAGGTTGTTGTGGTTGACCAGAATTCACCCCAGGTGGGGGTGAATAGGCTCC